ATTTAAAGTTCAACCCTAAAGAAATGAGTCTCCTTCACTTCTAAGTTGTCTTTGGTTGCTTGGTTCCTTTTGTCTTTTTGTTCACCGCAGCTTCCTTCCCACTTGACAAATCTTTTGCTTGTCTCTTCTCAGCAGTTTCCTTCCCATTCTGCTCTCTGTCTATTCTGGTCTTACTAGTCTATTCTGTATTCTCTCCTGCCCAATATACTTAGTAATGTGTATCTCTTCATCTGTGGGTCTTTGAGGAAGTTGGTTTAAGCCTTTTCAGGTTCTTCTTTAGTTAAGTCAAGGTGTGATGGAAACTTAAGGGTTTGGGACATGGTACTCTTGAATTTTAAAAAAGCAGTATTAAAAAAAAAGCAATATAGAAAGGGAGTAAAGTGAAAGTAAACTTCCTTCATTCTTACACCCCTCAGAGGCAACCACTAGCTACCAGTTTTTAAAAATCCATTTTTAAATGTCAGGTTTTTAAAGTTTGAGACCTCATTTAAAAAAAAACGCCATGGGATTATACTTTACAACTATGGTTCAACTTGCTTATTGCACAGGACAAAATATCTTGGCTAGTTCCCTCCCTGCACATGTTGTAGATGTGTACTGCATTCTCTTTAAGGGCTGAAAATTTATAAGAGATCATCTTTGAGCTTAGAGTTACTTATCACAAGACTTTTCCTTGAATAATATCCCTTCAGTATTGGCTATTGCTGTGAAGATTCCTTTTCTTTCCCATTTATGTTATATTCCACTCAGTCAACTCACCTTATGTGTGTTTCATTAAATGTAAAATACGACATTGACCCTGATCTTTGGCTTCATAATCTCATTAGATTTGTTTCAAATTGTCTCTTTTGTATCTTTGTAGTCACCACACCTTTTCCTGTCTCAACACTAAGGTTACATTCCCCATAGTTTCATTAAGTTGATCATTAAATGTTTATGAAATTACAGCTTTAAAGTGGAAGAAATCTCAACGAATCAATCAAAACATGTTTCAAATTAATTGTTACGTTTTAAAAATTCACTTTTGTCAATATAAGGTGTTTTCTGACTTAGCTATTAAATGTAATCTTTTTAACTTTGGGAGATTGAACTAAATTGGACAGAATAGCAATTTTAGTGTGGCTGATTTGTCTTTAACTGTTATAGTATTGTAAAATTCTGTGGCTCTTTAGATGACAGTAGCCAAAAAAAAAAAAAAATCAATGAAAGTTCTTCAAAAAACATGAAGAACATTATACAAATGACAGCTTTTCAAAAACATTAATTGAGTATCTACTGACTGGCACTATTATAGATGCTGAGGTTACAAAGATGAATAAAGACAGAAGAATTCCTAGTTCGGTCTATTTTTATTTTTAAACACAAGCTTATTGAGAAATAATTCACATACCATAACATAAAATTTACTCTAAAAGAGTACTATTCAGTGGCTTTTAGTATGTTCACAGAATTTTGTACCCATCGCCACTATCTGAATTTTAGAAGACAAATGACAGTTTTTAATCAGCATTTTTAAGTCTTTCCTTATTTTGGGCTTTATCTCAAAGCTTAATTTTCTTCTGCTTTGCCTAAGCACACACATAAGGGTGAGATTGTATGGGTCCACTCTCATGTGTAACTGTTCATCAATTAGGAAGCAGATGGTGTTAGCTTTCTTCTATTACTGGTAAAACATAGGGCTGAGTGACGTGATGCTGTGAGAAAGATGCAAAAGTCATGAGTAAGTTTAGTAGCTGACAGTGCCATTTGAACAAATAAAATAGATTGTTCTGGAGGAATCATTTAATATTGCATAAATGCAGGACTCGGAAAGAAATATTCTAAAGAACTATAGGTTTTTTGAAATAACAGACATCCTAAATTTATAATCATGTTGTACCACACCCACCTTCTCTCTATCTATCTATCATCTATCTATCTATCTATCTATCTATCTATCTATCTATCATCTGTTGGGTGTGTGCATACATACACAGACACACACAAAGTAACTTGGTTTCAGAGCCATTTTGTGTGCTTGGTTTCCTTCCACAGATCAGGTAGATGGTTTTTTTTTGTTTTGTTTTTAATTTTTAAAAAAGCTTTAGTGCATCTATAGATTTTGTGAAAAATTTCTCATTTAATCTCTGGGCTCCCTAACGGTCACAGTGGTTAAAGCCAACCATTGCTTAGTGGGGTTGCTGTAAACAAAGCCCGAGGTGAAACCCCTGTGTATTCGCTGCAGATTCCCAGGTGCCTCTCAAGTACTAAAATAAGCTCAGAAAAGTTTTAATGGGTTTATTAAATAATCATCCTTTAAAAGGTTCTTGCACTACTTGTCTGTTGTATTAGGACATGTGTCTGGCACTTTTACTGAATTTAGCACTTCCTAGACGAGGGTGAACCCTAAGATTTAGATTCCCCTCAGATGTTCAGACAGAAGAATTTTTGTCAGTAAAAACCTAAGGTCACAGAGCTGCATAAAGGTTTACCAATCAGAAGACATCAAGCTATTTTATGTTCCCGGATGTCTTAAGAAAAAGACTTTTCAAACTGAAGAATGAAATATCTTGCAGGGGGGGACCGTTGGGTACGTTTTGTGGAGATCCCTTTGACAAAAGGAATCATTGGAAACGAACACACCGATTCACCGAGGCAGATGATGAAAAGGAAACCTCAGTGTTTCCTCAGCCTAGAAGGCTAGCGCCCGTTCATTCCTTAGCAGCGTGTCAGCCTGATGACTGGCTTCTTGGTCAGATCCAGCCTCGGTGAAGGTAGTTCATACATTGGAGATGATCTGAATGCTGTACAGTTTTGATGGCATGTTTATTTGTGGGAGGACGGGATTGTGAGGGTAAAGATAGGAATCTGTCTTTTGTAGTAGGATTTGGTCTGTGTGTTAATGGAATGAACTGGCCTTTCTGCTGGACTTCCTTTGTCCTTGCTGAGAAGGGAGACTGAAGTTTCCTAGGGCTATTGATGGAGCTGGCAACCGTAAAAGGAACTGTGGACTTTTGACCTTCTTGGTGGTAATGGAGGGTTAGGGGACTTTGAGAGCCCACAGGTTGGTGTGAGGATCAGAGAGTTGTGTTTTCATTTTTGCTACAAAACAGGAATATGCAAGTTAAAGCATTTACTTACACTTTCTTAGCACTTCTTTTTAAAACATTTCTATGATCCTGTGTCATTTGACATTGTTTTTTCCCCCAAAGCAATGGTTTTCTTCAGCAGGGCATTTTCTTTTCATTTATCATGAAGCCTGGTTGTTAGTTTGAAGAAAAATATCTGCCTTATTTCACAGGCCTCACTACACCTTTTTCCTGCTGTGTATAGAACACCTTCCTCATTTTTTTTCCTCTAAAAAAATAAAATAAAATTCCAAAGTATTTCATTTAACAACTATTTACTTAATCAGCTAAGAATATTTTGTTTTCTTGTTTTAACAATTCTTAAATTGAAATAACTGTTTAGACTTACTGAAATGACTCAGGGGCCTTCTGCCCCGTCCCCTCTCCCTTCCATCCCTGTGTCCCTCACCAACAAAAACATTAATGAACTTCTGAGGAACAGTAGTCTCTGCTTAAAAGGAAAGCTCCCGCGTTGAGCTAATGAATTGCTAATAAAATATTTTCTTAGCCTCTGTCTGTATTTCAGAACCCCTCAATTTCATGCACACACAAACAAAATGCCTGGATATTTGGTTATTTCTCTGAATCACTTCCATAAATATTTGCTCTAGTATAGTAACCAGGATTGGAATGGAATGGGGTCAGGCAAGAGATTATTCAAAGACAAATACTGAAGTTTTTTTTGTTTTACACATTCATTTTAAAAAGAACTTTAAAGGAGGATGGTGTTCTGTGGTTATAAGTCTCAAAACTATGGGCACAAATTAATTGGTATTAATAATCTCTCTTACTAATACTTTATTTGATTTGATGCTTTTGTGATAATTTGTAATTGGTCTCTTACACACACCCACACCCTCTGGACTTGTCCATTGGGGTTTAGTTCCTATATTCATTGCCTTTTCCTCACCTCTTTTCGTCCAGGTGTTCTGGTAAAGCTGGCCCTTGGTTTCGATATTTTAAATTACTTCTAAGGTGCGCATTTACTATTGTCGGCTACATTTTTGCTCTATCTAGCCCTAGAGCTATTTCTTCCTTCCTTGCTTGATGTTAAGATTTTTTTTGATCATCGGAATCACAATTTATATGACTCTACATTTCTTGAACACCTGCCCAGTCCCACTGTTACTCTGCTCAGGCACAGAGCCTGGTAAAAGCTCGAAAAACCTCTGTAACAACTGAGAGGCAGACCAATGAGCTTATTCTTAATTCATCTTCATGATATATGAAATTATTGCTCTTATAGTCCAACCCTGGATTTTTGTGAATTTTACATCCTCCTTTCTGTAGTTTCAATTCAGGGCCCACTTGCCTGTTTAGGACTTCCCATTTATCGTAGAAGAAATCCCCTCTCCTCTCCCATAGGGCAGAAGTTGTGTGTGTTGATGCGTTACTTGTATGCTTAGGATCAAATAATTAGTGGTCATGGTAAATGCTCAAAACTTCCCCAGAGGGGAATCACACGAATGCAGAGGTGCAAAATAAAGGGTGTGGTGCCTAAGCTTAAATGTTAAGGCACACCCTTCCTTGCGTATGATTCCATCGTTTTTTATAGGATTGTGGACAGAGGTGTATATTCTACTTAAAACTTGATTTTTTAAAAAAAAATGCTTCCCATCCCCTATTTTTAGAATGAGTGTTTGCCAGGAAGGTAGGAGTAGATGGTAGAGGCCTTGTTAAATAGCTGAGCTGTTCTGTGTGTTTTATACCCTTGTCATGCTAGTGCCAAGAATGGAGGAAGATGCTAGAGGTCTTCCCCAGAGCCCCGCTTTCTGGCTTGGCTGTGTAATACCAAGTTGCTGGGGGTGGGGTGGAGCAGGGAGCTCTCTCTCCTTTAGTGGTTTCTTGTTAATAGCTCTCAACCAAGCTGTGTCAATTCCCTTGGCTTTACAGACTATTGCCTAGAAGAAAAGATGTTTGGTTTTCACAAGCCAAAGATGTACCGAAGTATAGAAGGCTGCTGTATTTGCAGAGCTAAGTCCTCCAGTTCTCGATTCACGGACAGTAAGCGCTATGAGAAGGATTTCCAGAGCTGTTTTGGGTAAGATCATCAGATGTTTGTACCATTCTTAGCGTGAAATAGGTCACAGCATACAGAAATATTTCCCAGCAAGGCAATTGGAGCAATGTGGCTAATATTTAAAATCACTTATGTTCTGATCTAGGCTGTTTTAAGGCCCTTGGTCTTAAAGGCAATCTAACATACTGACAGCCTACCTTTTTTCAGATTATGAGGAACTACCGAATTAATTGGAACCAACTTCAAAGTTGTAACTAAACAAACCCTTTCTGTTCATTAATTTCAGTATGTATAAAGAGATTTAAAAAATTACCCTTATTTTCTCTTATAATTGCTATCCTCCAGTAGTTTTCTGTCATTTATATTGTTTTTCTAAATTATAGGAATATATTTTGACCTAACCTGCTGAGGATAGTAATAATACTTAATGTTCTGCCCTGAAGCCTGTCAGGGTATGTTAGCATTTATTTTATATAAATTTTCTTCGTTATCTTTTGACAATAATTCACTGCTTAATGAAGTAGAATTTACTTTCCAACAAACCCTTGGATGAAATAAAATACACAATGTTGAACTAGTTCCCATGTTAGAAATTAATTTCACCACTTTGTTTTTCTTATCAAAACATTTGTTGATTATTTATTATTAATCCTAGACTTTGTATTTTCAGGGTTGTCAAAAAGAGTTCATTGACCTTGCCTTTTTAAATTACATTTTCTTCCTAATGTCTTCATTTCCAATTGTGTACATAATAAATATTATCAGTATTTGTCTGATGTATTTAATTCAGGATAAATGTAATAAATGAAAGTTCCTCAGAGATGTAACAACTTGGTGACTAGTTTCATAGATTTTTTTTCCCTTATGCAGACATAATAACTTTTTTTGGTCTAAGAAATTTTTTTTATTGCTTAAAATATTACAAAGAGTAGTACATTTTTCTCCTTTTTTCCCCTTTGACCTTCCCCCAGCCTCCCCCATCCCCCAGTGTCTTGTGTCCATTGTACATAATAACTTTTTAAAAATTACAGTGCCTCTGGTTTTGTTTGTTGTGAAACTAGAATACCATCACACATTTTTTTCCCCTTTATTATTATTACTTTTTTTCCTTCCTTTAATCTCACCCAAGGACATGTTTTTTATTGATTTTGAGAGAGAGAGAGAGAGAGAGAGAGATTGAGAGAGATTGAGAGAGAAACATCTATCGGTTGCTTTCTGCACTCGCCCCAACCCACATGCAAACCGAAACCCAGGCACATGCCCTGACTGGAATTCAGCCCGCAACCTTCTGGTGAATGGGACAACGTTCAACCAACTGAGCCACCCGGCCAGGGCCATCACATGTTATTTTGAAGGATGGCATTTTGTTGCTTATGAAGCATCTATACATACTTTAAGAAAGATTAATTGGACATTATTGTTTAAAACTCTGGTGACCAGGATCTCTTCTAGGTCTAAAGTTTACTATTATTAAATTTTAAAACATTATTTTGCAACGTATGAAAATTTGGTTCATTGGATCTGGAAGTTAATTATATTTCCTAAATATACTACAGAAACAATGGAATTGGATCATCCCGGGTGATTAGAAATAGCATCTATGAACTTTTTTTCTAAAAGGAATGTACTTGCTCGAATTTTTTAATGTAAAGGAGACCAATAAAGGCTTGGTTGTTTTCTTATCAGGTTGCATGAGACACGTTCAGGAGACATCTGTAATGCCTGTGTCCTGCTTGTGAAAAGATGGAAGAAATTGCCAGCAGGATCCAAAAAAAACTGGAATCACGTTAGTGCACCTGTCATCTTTCTCAATTATACCTGTTATATTTACAGTAACATTAGTTTCCCCCTCTGTAGGAAGTAATAATGTTCCTGGGATGGAAAAATATGAAAAGAATAAAGAAAAACAGTTGCCACTTAGATAAAATTGCCTTACATTTTGTCTGTTTGGAAGCAAAATAGCTTGGTGTGGCATTTCCCTAAGGCTGTATCCACTACCCCCAGAAATTCACAATGTATATTTCACATATTTTAGGTTTAACCCAGAAATTCCTAGAGTTAATCAGATGAGCCTTTTTTTCACCTCTCAGGATGACATTTATCCTAACTCCTGTTGGTACTAATGAGCCTGTAGGTTTTTAATCAGGCCTGGATTTATCACCTCCTAGCTGTGAATTTTGTGCAAGTTACATTTATTTGTAGAGCATAAAGATAATAGCTGTCTCAGAGCGGTTGTGAGAACTGAATGAGACAAAGTATAACATAGTAATCATTCAACTAGATGAAAGCTGTTGTTACCCTCTATGTTTAAATCTAGTTGAGATCAAACTGGTGTATAAAGGTGTGTTCTTCTGACCTTTCACTTTATAATGTCACTAGAATTTTTCATAAGATATATTTGGCCAGAACAGCACTGAGTCTCAGTTAATTCTTCTGTTTGCTAGCTTTCAGAATATTTATGACATTTATACAACTTGTTTTTAAGCGGGCAGTCATTTATTCTTTATCTTTTCCCCTATACTTGCTTTACACTATCCTTTGGTGACTTACATTATAATGGTAGGTTTCTGAGGGTCTGTTAACTTACTAAAAAAAGGAGTTTTTCTTTAATGCCTCATCTGGAGGAGATCCAAATTTTGATTTCGAAGGTGATGGCAACCTTTCATCATAAGGGTAGAAATCTGCAACTAGTAAATATGAGTGAGTGCATGAGAAATGGGACCATACGAGCTGAATCCGTGTGCATGCTAGATGGGGGAGAACATGCCATTGCCGTCATTTAACTGACCTCAGGGGTTAAGGGTGGGTAGTGAAAAGAGTTTACAACATAGGTCTGAATACCTTGATTTGAGTCTTATCCCCCTCCCACTCACCCTGCCCTTTTCACTAGCCTAGTGAAATAAAGCGAAGTGAATAATTTAATTTCTCTTGTTTTCCTTCACTCTAAAATTGGAGTAACAAAAATATCCCCCTTACTGCTTTGTGGTGAAGGTAAAATCAAAAGTATATGAAAACTTTTTATAAACTACAAAGCATCCTATAGAAATGATAGTTGTTAGATTTGATTTTTCTTAACCTCCTATAGGCCATTCTCACCATATGTAAATCTACTTAAAGTCTTTGTCCAGCAGACTCCTATTACCTACTTAAAAAGCAAACAAACAAACCCCCACTATATAAACTATTCTTTACTTTTCCTTGATGTGCTGTAATTTTTGTTTATTTTTTAAAATGTTACTTTTTAATGACAGTTTTCATTCAGTATTATTTTATATTAATTTCAGGTGTACAGCATAATGGTTAGAGGTAAACTATTTTTAAATTTCATGTAATGATTAAAAAAAGGTTCACACGGACTCTCAAACACTCTAATAGAAAACTGTGGTTCTGAAATTGGGCTCCTTCAAATAGGCATTTGTCTGAACCAAAGGAATACAGAGGTGTCATTTTTAAAATGGTATTAAATATTCAGTATTTTCTTCCAGGTGGTAGATGCAAGGGCAGGACCCAGCCTGAAGACTACACTGAAACCAAAGAAAGTGAAAACTCTATCTGGAAACAGGATAAAAAGCAACCAGATCAGCAAACTACAGAAGGAATTTAAACGTCATAGTAAGTTTGAAACTGAAACACAAGTACTCAAGGATAGTTGTTTTGTTTTTATTTTTGCCCAGAGGTGGCATATGCTATATATGGATCATTTTTTTTACTTTTATTGCTTTTTTAAAAAAAGAGTGTTTGAAAGGGGATTGTTGACTTGGTAGAGATATCATCTCTATGGAATCTCATAACACTGTCCTTGATTTTGATGTCATGAAAATTCTTCCACAAACCAGCCACCTCTTCATATTGTGCTGAGGCCACTTTGCTCTCTTTACCGACGTCTTAATTTTCCAGAAGATGCATTTTTCAAGCTTGTTTACCTGATATTTTACGCATAAGGATATTGAGGCCTGAATATGTGTAGAAGGGAACATAAATAATTAGTGGAGGATCTGAGACCAAAGCCCAGGAAAGTAACAGTAGAAACCATAACTCACCTAATGCAGTGAACTCAGCCTCAGTACTTTGGAATTTAGGAGTGTGTGTGTGTGTGTGTGTGTGTATTGTGTAGAGTGATGGAAGGGCAAAGGAATGACAAATTAATACCCAGTTCATAAACTCATATAGAAAGTCATTGTTGCACGTAGGGCACCTGTAGTGGTACTTCTGTATGCAGGAATTTAGATTTAAGATTTTGAAAAGGAAATGCAGGGCATATAATGCTATTATGTGACCTTTGTATCATCTCCCCTAGTGGGGGAAGATCTGAGGCAGTGCTGTTAAATCAAACACATTTGTGTTTCTGCAGTGAAACGGTATTCACACAGATGGAATAGATATTCACACAGTGTTCATGTAACTGGAATCAATAAACTGTACTATAAATAGGTTAGTCAGGTTTGGCTCCTTAGTTATAGTTCACGTCAAGCCAGATATAGTGACCACATGGATTAGGAATACACTTTCCATTTTCAAAGCTTTTTCAGAATTGTAGATATGGGTTGTGGGTCAGTATTAAGAGTTTTCAGGATTAAAAAAAATCTATAGACAAAATGTTATCAATCAATGCATGTTTTGAAACAATGGGAAAACAGTTAAATCTACTGATCTAGGTAGACTGAGAAAGGAAGGATAGCTGTCATCTCATGAGCACTTTGGTATATCTACCGAGCACTTCACATACATAGTTATCGCCATGATTTCTGTGATAGAGATTAGCACTGGAGTGGTAATTTAACCCCTAGAGTGCCGGGGAGCGCAATCGCACTCCTCCTGTCTTTGCCTAAAAGTGCCGGGAGCACTATCAAAGCTTTGAAATGGCGTCCAGATCTAAGTCTGCTTTTATTAGTGATGATGATATTGCTAAATATGTCAATGTAGTAAAGGTTTCCTTAAGTTTTTGAATATGTAACTTCATTTACTTGTGATTCATAATTTTTTTCCTAAACTGCTGTAAAATCAGCAAAAATGCCTTGGCAATTTTAGCATAGTTCCTAGGATATTGGTTGGCACTCAAAGGGTTAACCTTGACCCAGGTCACTTAGTAAGTGGTAGAGATGAATTTGACCTCCTGTTTGTCTAACTTTAAAGCCTCGTGCTCTTTCTATACCATCCTGCTGTCTGGTCTGGGGCACTATAACCAATATCTCAGAACTCCAAAGTCTTTCCAGATCTGCTGCTAACTTTGTGCTCTTGGGTAAGTAGGTGTTACCAGTCCTTAGTTATTCTGATGGTTTACAGAGTTGGGCAAAATTAGGTTTACAGATGTGAGATGCGAGACAGTTTATTCTTGTATTAGTATTTATTAATTTTGTATTTTCTTTTTCCAATCTATAATAAAATATATTGGGGCGCTATTAGAGAAGTCTGAAGAGGCTTCCTAGGGAAGGGTGACAATGAGCTTTGAAAAACACTGAAATTAGAAGTAAATCTTTTAGTCACATGCATTTCCTGTCATCACCATCATTATGCTCTGTCAAAATGTCCTGTTGGAGTTTTCATAAGAACAGCATAATAAATGTCTCTAGGTCAATACTCCAGAATAATTAAGATTAAGAAACTTATAATCAGCTGTAAACACAAATTTAATTATGGTATCTAAGAGACTTATCCTTTGAAACTGGCACCAACTTAGGGCAATCAACATTTATCCAATCATACAAATACAATTTTAACATCTGTAGTAAGAATTACATAGCCCTGGCCGGTGTGGCTCAGTTGGTTGGGAGTTGTCCTGTGCACTGAAGGGTTGCTGGTTTGATTCCTGGTCAGGGCACATGCCCAGGATGCTGCTTGATGATCCCTTCTGATGTGGGGCCTATACAGGGTGTTCTGCTCTCATATTGATGTTTCTCCCTCTCCCTTCCTCTCTCTCTAAAAGTCAATTTAAAAAATTTTATATTTGAGACAATAGGTTGGCATTGGCAAATGAATTCCAAAATTACCACTTAAAATTCTAAATGAACATCTCCAGTCTTTTCAGAAAGCATTTCCTTTCTTTATACTGTCACAGGTGACTTATCCATTTATAATAATATTGTGGTAAGTAAACACTACCTTGTCATTATGAAGAAAAAAAACTATGATTAGACAAAGATCATAATGTAGTTCTGGAGGACTACACATTCTTTCACTAAAAACAGTATCTAACAGAACAGGGTACTCTTTGAATGGCAGTAACATGTAATGATTTAGTTTCTGCTACATTAGAATTCTGTGTAGGTGTTCACAGTTTGGGAGCTAGGACGAAAGAGCAATTCTTGCTTACGTAGTAGAGACGCCTCAATATATAACATAGGTATGTATATGTTACCACTGGACATTTAACATGGAATTTAGAAAAAAAATAAAGAAGACTAACCTATATAACCTAAGTATGAGGATGGACTTTATTTTTATTTCTTTGGACTTTATTTTTTTTTAAAGTCTTTTGAGGACTACAGATTACAAAGTAAAAGCAGACTGCTACCTAGAAACCTGGTGAATACATTTTCCCTGTGCATGAAAACTTTATCAGTGTTACCCATTTAACAATTTCACCTATTCACAATGGTTTGTGTCAGTAATAATGCTCTTCTTCGTAAGGCTACTATACACCTTTATTTCAAATTATACAACACACTAGAAGCCCGGTGCACGAAATTCATGCATGGGTGTGGAGGGGTTGTCCCTTGGCCCAGCCTGCACCCTCTCCAGTCTGGGACCCCTCGGGGATGTCTGACTGCCAGTTTAGGCCCGATCCCCCTCTCTCAACAATCCGGGACTGCTGGCTCCCAACCGCTCACCTGCTTGTCTGCCTGATTGCCCCTAACCACTTCTGCCTGCCAGCCTGATCACCCCCTAACCACTCCCCTGCCAGCCTGATTGATGCCTAACTGTTCCCCTGCCGGCCCGGTTGCCTCCAACTGCCCTGCCTTGAAGGTCCAGTCGCCCCCTACTTCCCTCCCTTGCCAGCCTGGTTGCCCCTAACTTTCCTCCCCTCCCGGCCTGGTCACCCCTAACTGCTCTCCCCTGCTGGCTCAGTCCCCCTCCAACTGCCCTCCCTCCCCTGCTGGCCATCTTGTGTGAGGGTGTGACGGTCAACTTGCATATGACCTCTTTATTATATAGAATTATTCTTTGCAGAAGAACTATTAAACACTAAATTCTTATCTCATAAAAATGGCACCTTTGAAAGGGGCAATTTCCACTCAGCCTTTGGTGGCATTATTCCAAGCTATTTCTTTCAACTTTCAAAATGTTCACTTTTTAAAAAATATATTTTATTGATTTTTTTTACAGAGAGGAAGGGAGAGGGATAGAGAGTTAGAAACATCGATGAGAGAGAAACATTGACCAGCTGCCTCCTGCACACTCCCTACTGGGGATGTGTCCGCAACCAAGGTACATGTCCTTGACTGAAATCGAACCTGGGACCCTTCAGTCCACAGGCCGACGCTCTATCCACTGAGTCAAACCAGTTAGGGCTCAAAATTTTCACTTTTAAGGTGAAGTCTTTCCACCAAAAAGTATGGTCACATTTTGTTTTCTACTGACTACATACATAGATGATGGCAGTGAGCAAGAAAAGACTAAAATTAAAAGGCAGCCATTAAAATAAATGAATCAATTGTGTAGAAGAAACATTTGACCCATGGCAGTTAACCAAAAAAAGTGGGAGGAGGGCCGAGACCGGTTTGGCTCAGTGGATAGAGCGTCGGCCTGCGGACTGAGGGGGCCCAGGTTCGATTCCGGTCGGGGGCATGTGCCTGGGTTGCGGGCACTTCCCCAGTGGGGGATGTGCAGGAGGCAGCTGATCGATGTTTCTCTCTCATCGATGTTTCTAACTCTCTATCTCTCTCCCTTCCTCTCTGTAAAAAATCAATAAAATATATTTAAAAAAAAAAAAGTGGGAGGAGGGAATTAGGGCATGTTAATAGCCAGATGTTTGAGTCATTAGTGAATATATTGAGTATGAAGCTGGTCCTATATGACCAAGTGGGAATATATCATTATCATTGCACTCCATTCTTTACATCAAATACTCTAAGCCAGTAGGAAATAAGAGTTATATTTAGAGTCCCAATTAGAACATGCTGGCATTTAATTTGCTGGGTTTGGCATAGTCATTTCCTTTAGTCACACTATTTTATGAAACCTTTCCTATTAATCTTAAGTTAAATGACATATTTGTTAAATGACAAGACTTTCCTAAGTTGAAATGGTATGAGAAGAATACCCATTTGTTTTGCCTGGGAAGATGGAAAATGCAGTTTCTCAGTGGGAAAAAGCTCAACTGTCTTCTTCCCACCACCTGTGCCTCATACGATTTCCCGAACACCTCACTTCCCAGCTTGTTCTCCATGTTAAAAATGCAAGAAATACTAACATGTAAGCAATGGTCCAGATATTCAAAATTCACGTTAATCCAATTACTGTATATGAGATTTTCATTGATGAGGAGGTCTCTGGCGTACCAAATTCATCACACAAATAACTGCTTTTTGGGACCTTGGATATTTTTACAATTTAATATTGTATTATTTTCCATAAGAACAACTGCAGACCTAATTTTGCCTACTCTGTATTTAATCTTTGGCTAAAATATTTTAGTGCCTTTCTAGTAAAATATTTTGCTAACATTAAGTATGTATGTTTTAATTATATATATATTCCCTTCTTCACCAGCTATCTCTAAGGAGAAAAAAATGACCTACTCTACCCTTCATTCTCACTAGATGTTTTTGTTTGTTTGAAATCTCTCCACTTTTATTTTTTTAAATCTTTATTGTTGAAAGTATTAAAGATGTCTCTCCCCCCTGACCCTCATTGACCCCTTCTAACCTACTCCCGCCATCAGTAGATGTTTTAATAAACATTTGGGAAATAGTAATTTTATTATACCACTTGACAGTGGTTAGAGGAATTGATTATACTCATACATATATTCCTAGCTCCTTTGTTTAATTATAGGGAAAGTGACATGTGACTAACGTTTGCCTTACTTAGAGAATATGCACAGTTAATTTTAGATTGGGGCTGGAAACTGAAAAATAAGTCCCTTTGAAAAGGAAAGATGTGTGGGTTTTGGAGGTTCAGACTTACACTGGGTTTCCCAGGTGCATTGTGAATTGCTAACACCTGTATGCAATGTACCAAACAGTTGTGACATATTTGAATTTTTATACATCACCCTCTGAATGGTTTCCTTGCCTCAGGTTATGTATTTGCTTCTGAGCATCCTGCCTGTACCTGACCTGCGTTCCTCTTCCTGAGGCATTCTTTCCAAAGGCTTTGGACATGAAGCTGGAAACTCTGGATCTGAGTTCTAGTTCTTGACACCTACAAATATGTGACCCTGGTGTCACTTAACATTGACGTAACCACAATTTCCTAATTAGAGAAAAGGGTTTTAAAAAATGCAACAAATTCCTCTATAAATGTTAGCTATTTTTTGTCATCCTTCTTTCTAAAATCTGCAATGATTTCTGATTGCTACAGAATAAAGTTGAAAATCCCTAGCAAGTCCTTGAAGGTTCTATTTCAGAAGAATGTTTGGACTGAGTAGATGCCTCCATGTGCGCAGTGTGTTCTGCTTCCACAGTTTTGCTCATTGCACCTACCTACGCCATGCCATGCTATCCAATTACTCTTTTGTGCCTTTCCAAACCCTGTTTAAAAATTTTGTTTAAATTGCAGTTCTTTGAAGAATTTCTAGAAGAGAGTTTTTCTTACAAAATGTGTTTGTATATAATTAAGTTGTATCCTAGTATCACAAGTATTAGATTAAACCATATGAAATTGTCATTTTTATACGTTGGAAATGGTCAAATAACTGCACTTTCAAACGGTTCATAGATATTAAGCACTTCCTAATATAGTGAGTTTTCTTTTTTGTGTTTTTATTTAAATACTAGTGGCCCAGTGTACGAAATCGTGCATGGATGGGGGAGTGGGGGTGTCCTCAGCCCGGCCTGCACCCTTTCACAATCCAGGACCTCTTGCTCCTAACTGCTCGCCTGCCAGCCTGATCACCCCCTAACTGCTCCCCTGCCAGCCCGATCACCCCCAACTACCCTCCCCTGCTGTGACCCGCCTCCTCCGCGCCACGCAGAGCCACGGGACCCCCAAGCTGTGTGTGTGGCCATCTTGTGGCGACGTTGTGCACAAGGGCCACCTAGGCTTTTATTAGTATAGATGTCTTTTTACTGATTTCAGAGAGGAAGGGAGAGGGAGAGAGAGATAGAAACATCAGTCATTGATCAGCTGCCTACTGCACACCCCACACTGGGGGTTGAGCCTGCAATCCGGGCATGTGCCTTGACTGGGAATCGAATTGTGACCTCTTGATTCTTAGGTCGATGCTCAACCACTGGCCAGGCAGGGTGAGAATTATTTTTATGAAGTTAAACTATTCATATATTAGAAATGAATGAGCATATTAGAACACTGATGGTGCCTTCTTTGTTTTAGTTACCTAATTTTATGTAAACTTTTGTTAATACAAAACACTTATGAGCTCTATTCAAAAACGTTTTTTTAGTCTGTTTCTTTCCATGCACGATATGACACAGGGTTGGATGGCTAGTAGATACAGTAGGTCCCCGGGTTACGTTGGAGATCCGTTCCTAAAGCGCGATGTAACACGATTTTCGCCGTAAGTCGGAACCCATCTACATAAGCACCTACGTCACTCACATGGAGCACACACACAGCAGTAATTAAGTGAAACAGTAAAAAAGCTTAAAAGAAAGATTCCTGACCTTTATTTGTGGTAAATAAATAATAAAAAACATAAAGCACATATGTACATACATCGAAATGACGAAACTTTTTTTTAAATAAATAAATGGGAGATGGTGACATAACCACAAAACGATGTATGTGGAGTCCGATGTAACCCGAGGAATGTCTGTACTTAGTAAATATTTGCTTGGTTCTTTGAATTGAAGGACTGCTCTACCCACCTGTGGGAGGGAAATAGTCTTTATTTAATAAAATCTTTATTGTTGAAAGTATTACATATGTCCCCTTTTTCTCCCCTCAACCCTTTCTCCCCCGACCCTGTCCCAGGCCCTCACCACCCCACTGTATACATATATGCATGTATACAAATATGCATACAAGGTCTTTGGTTGATTACCTCCCACCCACCCACTCTCCCCCACTTTTGAGGGGGATAGTCTTTAACCAAAGGCAAGATGTGTGGTAGGCTCAACCCTATTTATGACATTGCTCTGCTGTGGAATAGCAGCATAATCCTTATAGCACAGTGACTATCAATTTGCTTTCCACTTCAGAAATTTATATGAAGTCTTCTGAGGGCAAAAATACTAAGTCATATTTAGTTTGTATCTGATGAATTGCCTTTATTACTTATTAAATCGGGATCTATTGTAACGTCAGTTTTCTGTGTCTTTAGTTTTCAGAAGGCTAATTCTGTGTCTCAGCTTTGATTTCTTTGGGTATATCCTGTTTTAGGGTGTGCTCGACTTCTTGAACCTATAGGTTTATGTCTGTTGCCAAGTTTGGCAAGTTTTCAGCCATTATATTTCTTTGAGTATTTTTTCACCTCCGCCCTCTTTCTCCTTCCTTCCAGGACCACACTGACATGAGTGTTGGCTTTTTGTCAGAGTCCCACAGGCCTCTAAAACTCTGTTCGTTTGTTTTCTCTGTGTTGTTCAGGTTGGGTAATTTCTGTTGTTTGTTCTTCCAGTTCACTGGTTGTTTTCTCTGTCCTCTACATTCTGCTGTTGAGCCTATCCAACTAGCTTTTTATTTCATTTATTGTATTTTTTTCAGTTCACATTTCAGTTCCACTTGGTTTTTCTTTATAGTGTCATCTTTTAAAAACTGAGACCTGGTATTTGCCTAGGCTCTGTTTTCATTTGTTTCAAGCATGTTCCTAATGGTTTGTTGAAGCATTTTTTCTTAAAAATATATTTTATTGATTTTTTCAGAGAGGAAGGGAGAGAGACAGAGAGCCAGAAACATCGATGAGAGAGAAACATCGATCAGCTGCCTCCTGCACATCTCCCACTGGGGATGTGCCCGCAACCCAGGCACATGCCCCTGACCGGAATCGAACCTGGGACCCTCCAGTCCGCAGGCCGACGCTCTATCCACTGAGCCAAACCGGTCTCGGCTGTTGAAGCATTTTTGTCACGGTTTACTTTAAAATTTTCATCAGATAATTATGTCTTCTCTGTCATTTTGGTGTTAACATCTACTTGCCTTTTCATTCAGTTTGAGATCTTCCAGGTACTGGATATGATATGATTTTTGATAGAAACCTGGAATTTAAGAATTATGTTTTGAGATTGGATCTTATTTAAAACCTGGCCGAAACCGGTTTGGCTCAGTGGATAGAGCGTCGGCCTGCGGACTGAAAGGTCCCAGGTTCGATTCTGGTCAAGGGCATGTACCTTGGTTGCGGGCACATCCCCAGCAGGAGATGTGCAGGAGGCAGCTGATCGATGTCTCTCTCTCATCGATGTTTCTAACTCTCTATCTCTCTCCCTTCCTCTCTGTAAAAAATCAGTAAAATATAAAACAAAATAAAAATAAAAAAATAAAACCTTCTGTTTTAACTGGCTTTTTTTTTTTTTTTAAGTACTCCTCCAGCAAGGGGTGTGGGGGAGGGACCCACCTTGTTCCTGCCAGGTGGTGTTACAAGTTCTCCACTCTACCTCCATTGACATCTGAGGTGGGAGGTCCCCATGGCTGCCAGGTGATGGGGAACTGAGGCTCCCACATGGTGGGGGGACCCTATTTCCGGTGGGCCATAGTGAAAGTCCTGACTCTTCAATAGGCTTCCCCTGACACACGCTGGCGGACGTGCTGGGCTGCCTCAGAACAGTCTCGTGAGGATGGAAACCTAGGCTCCCCGCTTGGCCTTGGCCGAGGTGGGTGGGGTTGGGCCCGTTTTTTTCTGTGGTATGCCAGGAGTAGAGCAACTATTGTCTAACAAAAGTTTCCTGCCTTGCTAGGCTTCCCCTTTCCTGGTCTATAGCGAGAGCAGGCTTTTGTTGGCTTTAAAAAAAAATTGTCTGCATCCATAGGTTTTTCTGGGTTGGCTATTTATGAGGCAACAAGAAAGCCCATAAAAACTAGGGAACTCACTACCATGACCTTCCTTGGGTCTCAAGCTTTTCTAGCTGTTGACAACTTCCAGGGTCTTTAGGTTCACTTTTTAGGTAAGGTTCAGGGCTTTTAGTTGTGCTTATTAAAACCGGAGGAACAGGGCAAAGTATGTCTACCCTTACCTTCCAGGAAGCTTAAGTTCTCATATTGTTTTAGAAACACTTTAGTTAGTAGAAATATCTTCAAGTATCAGTAGTGAATAGGAAAATAATTTTATTTATTTATTTATTTATTTTTACTAACTCATTCACAGTGTTTTATGCCGAGGTTTAGTTGCAATAGCATATAATGAAATAATAATTTGTTTTCTCTTCATTGCAGATTCTGATGCTCACAGTACCACCTCCAGTGCCTCCCCAGCCCAGTCTCCTTGTTACAGTAACCAGTCAGATGATGGCTCAGATACAGAGGTGGCTTCGGGCTCCAGCAGAACGCCAGTTTTTTCCTTTTTAGATCTCACGTACTGGAAAAGGTAAATGTGATAGAAAATACCTCTCTAACCAACAAGCCTTCTTAATTACAGGCAACAGGTCCCTCCTTCCTTAGCAATTAAATGGCTGTTAGCACACATGCTTGGAGGTGGATTAAGCAAGAATTGAGCTAAGGGTTGGGATTTTGTGTTTTTTCCTATTTAAAATGACTTAAAATGAAAATCATGTTAGGGAACCTGAATTTTCCCTGTAATGGAGTAGACTTAGGTATTCATTCTGACCAACTCATTCACTGAAAAAAGTAAAAGGGCTTGAAATACATATTTTTATTTTTTAAAAAAAATATATTTTATTGATTTTTTACAGAGAGGAAGGGAGAGAGATAGAGAGTTAGAAACATTGATCAGCTGCCTCCTGCACATCTCCTACTGGGGATGTGCCCGCAACCCAAGTACATGCCCTTGACCGGAATCAAACCTGGGACCTTTCAGTCCGCAGGCTGACGCTCTATCCACTGAGCCAAACCGGTTTCGGCCATATTTTTAAATTTTTTAAAAATGACATTGAAAAGTGGGCAAGTTAATAAGGAATAAACAGGTTAATACTAAGTAAATGTGGGACTCCTAAGTCAGGAAGATGATAGGCTAGAAAAGAGAAAAATATTCAAAGAGAAAAGTGGTTAAGGATTTTCTAGTTCACAGATTTAGGAAGACTAACAAATTAAAAGCAAATAACCAATTGTCTTATGAGTAAAGAAAATTTATCCATAGACACATCATAGTGAAACTATAGAACATGAAAGACAAAACAGACCTTTAAGCAGAGAGAAAACAGATATTACTTTCAAAGGAACAACAAACACAAAGTTGAGCTCTCCACATGAATGAAGGAAGCCGGGAAACAACAGGTTGTTTTCCTCAGTGGCCCAAGAGTTAATGACTCTCAAACTAGAATTGTATACATGTAGCAAAAATATCTTTTAAATAAGGGCATAAAACTTTTTGATTAGCAAAAAAATTGAGTGGCTGCCAAGTTGACCCTCAATAATGAACATTCTGCAGCACAGCAGGCAGAATAAAGAGACCCTATATTGAGGGTCTGAGAAGGAAAATTAAAGACAGTAGCAAATATGGCTGGGCAGGTCCGTTGGTTAGAGCATTGCCCTGGTATACCAAGGTTGCAGGTTCGATTCCTGGTCAGGGCACATACAAGAAGCAACCAATGAATGCATAAATAGTGGAACAGCCCTGGCCAGCATGGCTCAGTGTTTAAAGCAGCAGCCTTTGCATCAGAGGGTCATGGATGCAATTCCCCAGCATTTCTGATCCCAGCCCCTCTCCCCCGAGTCCGGGTATGTGGGGGAGGCAACCAATTAATGTGTCTGTCACACCATGTTTCTCTCTCTTTCTCTTCCCCTCCCCCATCCTTTCCACTCTTAAGAAACCAATGGAGCCCTGGCCGGTTTGGTTCAGTGGACAGAGCATCGGCCTGTGGACTGAAGGGTCCCGGGTTCGATTCCGGTCAAGGGCATGTACCTGGGTTGCGGACACATCCCCAGTAGGAGGTGTGCAGGAGGCAGCTGATCAATGTTTCTCATCGATGTTTTTAACTCTCTATCCCTCTCCCTTCCTCTCTGTAAAAAATCAATGAAATACATATTTATTTTAAAAAAAGAAGAAAGTATATTATAAAATAGAAAATCTTCATAACTAAAAAATAAATGAAAAATACTACAAATCAAAACAGGTGGTATGACATTAAACAGGTAAAAAGAGCGCCCTAACTGGTTTGGTTTGGCTCAGTGGCCTGCAGGCTGAAGGGTCCCAGATTTGATTCTGGTCAAGGGCACATGCCTGGGTTGCGGGCTTACTCCCCTATAGGAGGCATGCATGCAGGAGGCAGTCGATCAATGATTCTCATCATTGATGTTTCTGTCTTTTTCTCCCTCTCCCTTCCTCTCTGAAATCAATAAAAATATATTAAGAATAAAAGAATGTTAAAAAAAAGAAAAGTTATCCTCCTAATGCTTTTTATAAATGAAAGACTAAAAGCAAATGAAGTGATATATATCCAATTTAAAGGTTAATGAAACCCAATATAAGAAAAAATAAAAGCAAGGGAATCCTAAAGATAACAAGTAGAAATAAATGGAGTAGAAAACCAGTATGCAGTGGATAGGATCAATAAGGCTAAGAACTGGTTGCTGTAAACGACCTGACCAAAAAAATTACTAGAGATAATGCAGATCAAGGAAAAGAGACAATATTACACATACGTATTTTAGCTAAGAAAAGGGAGATTTAGCTATAGGTAAAGCAGAAATTTAAAAGATAAAAAGACATTAACACATTATATGTGGGAAACGTATTTATACGTTTTACTTATACGTTTGACGTTGACTGATAGTAGAGTGCGGGACACGTATTAATACGGTTTTTATAGACTAGCGGTAGAGTGTGGATAACGTATAAATACGAAAACTAAAGTTATCGTAATTTTACTGAACGTTGCCATTTGCACAAAAATGTAGCAAAAATGGCCCGTGCCACCTGTTAGCGCGATAAAAACTACCCGCAAACAATGTTAACAACTACATGCCAATAAATTGGAACATTTATGTGAAGTATATACTTTAGTAGAAAAAGACAGCTTACCAAAACTGTCTCAAGGAAAAATGAAAAACCCGACTAGCTCATAATAAGGAAATTGACTCGGTGGTTACAAGTTTTCCTTCAAACAATCCCATGCCCAGATACGCAAGTTCTCCAAAATACGTCAGGAACAAATGATAGTGATCTTGCAACTGGCTTTTCCAGATTACAGATAAAAGAGGGCATAGGCCCCAAGCATTCTATGAATCTAACATAACTTTGACATCAAAACAGTATATCATGATCAGGTTAGACTATCCTAGAGATATAAGATTGTTTTAAACATTAGAAAGTCAACTAATATAATTTGCCTCACCAAGAGTTTCTAAATGAGCAGAAAAAAAATGCCTATCATCTTAGTGATAAGTTGAAGGTCTTTGATAAATTTGAACATTCCTTAAAATAAAACTTAGCAAAATAGGAATCGAAGGGAACCACATTGACATTTTCGAGCAAAATTGAGCATATTCCCATTCTTATATCCTGACAACATAACCTAGAAAAACGTTTAGATATATGCACTGATAATGTACAGCATGTTTGTAATAACAAAAATCAGTCCCATCAAAAGGAGAATGGATAAATTGTGGTATATTCACATGGTGGAATACTGTACTAAGTTAAAATGAAATAAAGCTTAACTATGTATGAACCTCAGTTAATACTGAGCAAAAAAAATTATGGCATACCATGTGATTCCATATTTCTATATTCTATAAATACTATGCATAAAGTCAGTGTGATCTAATTTTATATACAGGGTGTGGCAAAAGTAGGTTTACAGTTATGAGGATGCATTATTGTAATATCTTCCATAACAACTGTAAACCTACTTGTCCCATCCTGTATATATCTGATTTTATATATGAGATAATTATATTTTATACACATAAAATATGCATATGTCTGAATGAGATAACTAAGCAATATGTTTAGAGATGCAAACGCAGTAAAACCAGGAAGTATAAAAAGAACAAAGGAGTGCTTAAAATGAGGAAAGAATGAGGTAAGGTGGGGAGAGATTAGAGACAGGCAAACTGGGGACTTCACAGGAAGTGATAATTTTTTTCATTGCAGTATGGGAGGTATGGGTGTTACGTGTTGTCATTTTTTGAGTGCTGTTACGTATATATTTTATATCTGCTAAATATTTAAATATAAAACTACCACCTGTGTCAGCCTGGTTATGGTGGCTATTTTTCTTCAAGAGTTGGTGATTTTTGAAGGAAACAGTTTACAAGTTTGGGAGCAGCCTTTGAAACTGACTGCTGTCTCCCAGAATGCCTTCTTTCCCCTTAATATCGGGTAAGAATCCAGTGTGGGATGTATGGGACCTGGGTACTTCCCATTACCCAGCCAGTGGGGTTTCTCTAGGAGGCCCCCCCTTTTTGTATTTTTATTGATTTCAGAGAGGAAGGGAGAGGGAGAGAAACATAAATGATGAGAGAAAATCATTGATTGGCTGCTTCCTGCACGCCCCACGCTGGGGATGGATCCCCCGGGCATGAGTCCTGACGGGGGAAATCAAACCACAACCTCCTGGTTCATAGGTCAACACTCAACCATTGAACCACACTGGCCAGGCTTTGGGAGCCCTTTTTTGGAATGTGGAAGTAGACCCTTTGGATCATGTTGTACTAGCTATTATGATGAGTTCGGTTTTTTTTGTATCCCTGTTCTTCTGCCTTATTAATATATTTCGTTCTCTCCATTTTTCTTTTAGACAGAAAATATGTTGTGGGATTATCTATAAAGGCCGCTTTGGGGAAGTCCTCATTGACACGCACCTCTTCAAGCCTTGCTGCAGCAACAAGAAGGCAGCTGCGGAGAAGCCGGAGGAGCCCAGCCCAGAGCCTCTGCCCATCTCCACCCAGGAGTGGTGACTGAGGTGTATGTAGAAGGGGAACAGGAAATGATTGAAATTTTAGGGGGGAAAAAAACCCAAAACACAGCAACAAAATGACCTTCCTGTTTTTCACTTGGATACCTGCTATTCTGCCAAAAGACAATTTCTAGAATAGTTCCGAATGGGTTATTTTTTCCTCCACTTCCACAAGTTCCACCAACTATGAAGCCAGTGTCTAGTCTA